ATAAATTCTGATCAAAAATGGACTGGAAGGAAATACCAACCCTTGCTTGCCAAGGCGGTCACTACTCTAGGCCTGACAGCAGAGGGAGAGAGACTGCGCGTCGAAAGTATGGTTAGCCCATTGTACTGGACCACAAAGCTGCTTTTGCTTGGAAGCGTCAAATTTCTTTTTAAGTAAGCCCTTAAGCAAGTAAAGCCCATGAGAGTTATTAGGTTAGCTGAGTAGCTTGTTGATTCTCTTTGTGTCTTTTGGCTGGGTGCACTTGCAGGTGTCTACAAGTACAGCCATATTGGCTAAAACCCGTTTAAAATCTTCAGTTAAGATTTATTTAACCTGGTGACAGATCTAAATGAAACTTCACTTAACACGGGTAACAGTTCGGGCAGAGTGACATAATGAGAAAAGTAGTATTGGAATTTGACACAATTGGAGGAGGGAGTCACAGAAGCCTAAGTTATATGCAGAACTACATTGTCTATTTATTTGAGAAGGTGATTTTGTCTACATATGTTTGGACAATGCATAATAAGGTAAACATGGAGCTATGGATAATGTTTGTTTACAATTTTGCAACTGGGGGGGCTTCTTTGTGCTCGAACCCAGGAGACTGAAATAACCTGGTGAGAGAAGATCTAGGTGTTTTGCATAGATGAGATTAACTTTATTACTTTCCCTTAAGTAAAAATCCTGTATAGCTCTATGGCAATGTCAACTGTTCTATATTTATTTACCTTTGGATTGATTTATAATGTAATAAGGGTTATTATACTCATGCTGTGAAATATTTCACACTAAAACTAAAATACAAAGAGACTATCATTCTCTGTTCCATTACACTGCTTTATAGAGTTAATTCTTGCCCAGTTTTTAAGCTTTGTATGATGTCTTTGTTTGATGAACCAGGGTCTTGCAAATATATAAACAGGTACAAACATTTTGAAATAGACTGCAGATCCTGTTTCAGGTTTCCCCTCCCCTCCCAAATTCCCTTTCAGTTTAGCATAATAAAACAACTGCTACTTCCCCAATCAATCACTCTCAACACAAATGATATTTGAAAATGTACTAGCAATGCGCACAGAACTGAAAATCATTTATGTTCTGGACTAAAGTTCCCGGAATCCCACAGCTAGGATGGTCCATGGGGATGATAGACCTGGGATTCTTAAAGTTGCAATCCAAAAATACCAAAGTAATAAATATAACCAGATTTGATAAGGCCTACTCACACTCATTATGAATTTTTGAATGTAGAGATGTGGTGAGTCCTTGCAAAAGCATTTTCAGAGTCTTGCCATGCCAAGAATCCTTCTAGAGATTTCTTGACACATCAGCAAGATAACCTGGCTTCCTGTGAAAGTAAGATCTTCTGGCCTTGGTTTCCATTTATTTATTTCAGATTTTTGCCTATTGTTCTGCTTAGGAACTGGCCCGGTTCTTTATAGAGCTTTTTTTAAAGGGCATCCTGCACAGGAAAAATGCCATCCTGCACAGGAATGGTAAAAGTCCTGTGAAGCTTGGCGTTGCTTCTGCCCTTTCCATGTGAATCTTGTGCAGGCAAAATGTCATTTTGTCAAATAATTAGAATGCTCCTGAGTACTTTGGCAAGTTTTTAAGAAAAAAATATTACTGTAAACATCCATGAAAACCCTACAAGATTTTTCCTGCACACAAGATAAAAGGTCCTGCAAGGAGATTTACCCTCAACTTCTTCCCAAGGGAGATATTTCATAGCTCTGCTTTAGCATTTGTAAGTTCTCAAGATATATGCATTAAGATAATGTAGTCTTCCTATATTCAGTTGCCAGAACTCCGTAGCTGTTCCTGTGATCATGGCCTGCTCCATTTATTTCAATGGAGGACAAAGCTTTCTATACACTGATATTTGCTCATCCATGGCGGTGGAAGAGGATTCCTTGCAGCAGGAGCTACTTTGTGTGCACTGGCTACTCAGACTCATTTAACCATTCACATCATCAATCACACACTTGCAAAAAGCCCGTGAGGCAGACATAAGTAGAGGGGCTTCTGAAAATTAACTCCACGTTGCCTGAAACTCTGGAGGAGGTGGGAAATGGCTGCTTATCCTAGATGAAAAAGCATGCAAAATGAAATAATGGGTTTGCAAACAGAGGACACTCCCTCTTAGTCTGGCATTGGAGTGGGGTGGGGTTGTCAGTGGTTCCCAAATTTCCTTCTCCACCTGCTGTTAAACCACCGTTTCTGGAATCACTAGCCAGTATGACCCCGTTGTAGGCCAACAAGATCCTGGCACAGAAGTTTTGGTACCACTGGACTAAGCCTTATATTTTGGGTGAAGTCTGTCCCAACGCACCCACCTAGGTTTAGTCGACCACTCCTTATCACTGTACGTGCCACCTAGACGTAGAAAACGTAACTGGTTTTAGGTTACAACTAATAAAAACGTAACTGTAGTTAAAAGGAAACTGGCCCTGCTGGCTGCAGGATTTTGAGAGCTGCAATCCAAAAAATAGAAGTATTTTTTTTTCCCATCTGTGGCTCTTTGCTAGTTGGCTGAGTGGGCCAGCCATTTTGCAAGGAGCCGCAAAACATTCAACTATGCCCACGGTACAGTTAAAGCTACCCCCACTTTTCACTACGGTCGCCTCCACCCCTTTCTTATTCTACACGTGGAGTAGAAAGAGCAATTTCTGATCCCATGATGGATGAAATACATCAAGGTAACTAGGTGTGTAGCCCTACCGTGACCCACTCTGGATGAGGCCACGGTCTCCTTTCCCACGCAACCAAGTCAATTTTGAGTGCTTTAACGGTAGCTACCAGATGGTTATACACCAAGTGTTGGGAGGGGGGGTAAGCAGTGGAAAACTCTGAACAGAAATGGGTTGGGTAGGAAGAGATGTTTTTCATGTTAGTTACATTGTGCTGGAATTTGATTTCGGAAGAACTATCTATCCTATTTGCTTGGGCAGATTAACAACTTCTGGAGCCCCAGGACCAGATAAGAGATCTGGCAGCCCTTCCTTTCCAAAATCGGTCGGAAGAGATGGTTAACATTCAGTTGTCCTTGGTCCCAATTTGGCAATAGTGTAGGTATCACACATAAAACACGGGGGGCTATTTTTGGTGCTAATACTTTTTGTAGGAATGTTTTTCCCCTCACCCAGACAGATTCACAAGTCACTCTTATAATTAGGTCACTAACTCTAATAGGGTGTGTGTGAGGACCCTTACAGATCCACCTACCAAGTTGTTAATCTGCTCTCGGTAACAGCACAGTCTTTGGCCTGATTTGTCCAATTTCGCTTCTAATAACAACGTTCTCCTTTCTTTTTCTCTCTTCCTTCCATTTCAGCAACAAGGAGCGGCTACGACCGTCTACTGTGCCACTGCCCCAGAACTTCAAGGCCTGGGCGGGATGTACTTCAACAACTGCTGCCGTTGCCTGCCATCGCTAGAGGCTCAGAACGACCTGACGGCAGCCGCCTTGTGGGAGCTGAGCGAGAAGCTGATCCAAGAACGGGTTGGCAGGCAGGGCAAGTAGTGGGGAAGCCCCTTGGGCGGGGGGGCTTCAAGCACATTGAGCCCCGTAGCCAAGCTTTGGCAAAGAGGTAGGGTGGGGAGTGTGTGTGTGTGTGTGAAAAGCAAATGGCCAGTCTTGGAACCTTTCCCTTACAACTACAAATTAGCTAGTGCTCAGTGAAAAGATAGCTGTTGTGACAGATGTGGCAGAGCCGAGGGAAACAAACAGGGAGCTGAGCAGGGTTAGCTGACAACGTTAATGTGTCCAGATTTAGTTCTGCCTCTGTATTATGCTCTGTTTTCAATCCAGCAAAAAGGAAAGCAATTCTAGTCAAAGGGTGATCAAGAAAAAAGCAAAAAGCCCAAAGAGCTTTACCCCCATCCTTTTTTAAGGTGTATATTTCCCCACTCGCTCCCCTCTAGAAATGTAGTGCATGAAAAAAACGAAGTATGGGTTCACCAGAGGTATCCTCATCAGGGTATTGTTGGCATCCTAAGGCGTGTGGCATTTGGTGGAAGCCCCAGGGTCTCTCCTTTATCCTAAGCAGCCCCAGAAAAATCTGTAACAATTCTGGAAAATAGCCACTTCCACATTGGGAATTACATTTTCTTGGTTATTATCGTAACTCATAAGGCCCAGCAAACTCAACCCTACTTTCTGTTCCCTTCTTTGAGGAGTGGGTCCCCGTGCCATCTTGGCGGCTCTCTGTCCACACGGAGTGGCGGAGATGGGTGGGGGGGAGATGACAAAAACTCCAAGTCCTAAATGATGACAATTTGCTCTGTGGGCAAATTAAAAACCACCTTACCTTTAAAAAAAAAAAAGAAGGCTGTTCAAAAGTCCAGGTTACTTCCCTTTCAATTAAATATATTGCAGAATATCCATTAAAATATGATATTAAAAGGTACATTTGCAAACCATTCTCTATATACTGGGATAAAGATGTGTCCTTACAAACACACTGGGTATCAGCAGTCAGAGGGGCTGAGAGTTTTTGTCCATCCGTGTCTAGGGCGAGAGTTTTATGGAGCATCCCAGCGTCCCCAACTTATTGATCTATTCAGTTCATTTCCTTCTTTCCTTCCTTTCTTCTTCTTTTTTTTTTCTCAGTTTAAATGCAATAAAAAGAACATGCTTGAATATTGTCACCTGAAGAGCAAGTCTGGTTTCTGCGACTCTCGAGTTCCTTTTTGTGTGGTTTTTTTTTTGTTAGTTCTTTTAGGAAAAGGAAATGTGAGGAAAAATAAAGAAACTCTTCAATGCCATTAAACGATTTCTTTTCTTGTTTCTTTCCAAGTTCATTTGTCTGTGGGATTTTTTTCCCCTTTCTTTTTTTTGTGCTTTGTAGCTTCTCTTCATGCCAGAAAATTGTTGTAAGCCATCCGCCATCCAGCACCAGTTTTTCTGTAAACAAGCAAACAAATAAATAATGGTTATTTCCATGTCCTAAGCCTTCCGTTATTTGCGTCCGATAAGCTCTGTGTGATACATGTCCATCAAATGTGACTTCTCTGTTTCAATTTACATTTTGCTCTCACCTATGGATCCAAGGAATTCAAGGTGAACTACTTCTCCAGCTTCACCCTCCCCCCCATAACATAACTTCTCTTGGTTCCCTGATACTTGAACCACTTCCTTTTCATCTCACATGACCAAGATCTCCAGCTGTTCCTTTCTCCTCTGCCTTTACTTGGGGCTATCGCATGACATTAAGCTACACTCAACAGTTTTCCCTGTTTGATGGCACTTTGATGACCATGGTTCCATCCTACAGAATCAGAGGATTTCCAGTTTGATTCCCCCCCCCCCCGTTTGCTAACTCTCATGCATGTCCCTGAACTGCAGGAGAGAATACTGACTACAGTGATGCCTCGCAAGATGAAAATAATTCGTTCCACGAGTCATTTCGTATTGTGAAAATTTTGTCTTGTGAAGTGCAGTTTCCCATAGGAATGCACTGAAAATTAATCAATGTGCTCCTATTCGTCTTGCGAAGCACGGCCATAGAAAAATTTGTCTTGCGAGTCACTTTTTAAAAAAACGCAAAACACTTTCGTCTTGCGAATTTTTCATTGCAAAATGCATTCGTCTTGCGAGGCGTCACTGTATTTCACCAACCTAGGAATGCTAGGATTCTGTGGAATGGAGCCGCTGCTGTAACATTGTAGGGTAAATCATCTTGTTGCTTGAGTTCTCACATTTAGGCTTTTAAGATGCAAAATATATGTCACTCACACTTTTGCTGTCTTCCTAGGTAAACAGTTCTGAAAACAAAGAGGTGTTCTGCTCTGTTAAACTTTCCATGTAAGAAAACAAACCAACTCCCCTTGCAGGTAATTAAAACTGTAAAAACCTACCCATAAGCAAGTTTCTTTCTGTGTTTCTTTCTTTGGTGGGGATGAACAACAGCAGTTTTGCTGTATATTTACCCAAGACCCATGTGGTGTTTTCCCACTTTAAGTACAACACAGGTCACCTCGAATTCAGACTCATGTTTAAAGGGAAGCATGAGCAGAACAAGGTTCCTCTCCTTCCTGCGGTGCAAACCCATTCAACCGTAAAACTTAGCAAACACATTATCTTCAATCACAAAGCCCAGCAGCCCGGCTCTGTGTAGCCACTGACAAGGGCTAATCTAACATTTGACTTGGCTTGGTTGGCATTTACATTACGCACTTCTTGCCTCTCCCAACAAAGTTGTGCATGTGAGCCACAGTGTTCAAACCTGAGCACGAATTACTCATGTCAAAATATGCAAAGAGGTCTTGTTTCCATGTTACCAAACGGACATCAAACTCAAGAAGTAGCAACAGATTAGACGAATGGAAGACAGCGCCAAACGAAACCCTTGCTTACATCATTTGGTTTGAACCCATCCCTGCTCAACCTATCTGTAGGCAGTCCCAGTGGTGTCATCGACGTATAAAGGGGAGATAGGAGGAGGCTAGGAAAACCCCTTACCTGAAGTGAGGACATTATTTTAGGGGACCCATCTTCCCCACAAAACTGCTGAATAAAAATGGCATACTGTATTCTTAATGCTGACAGACTGTTGGGAGCAAAATGGAAGATTAAAATATTTCTGATAAATAAATATTGGTCCTACGTGTGTGGAATAGAGTTAGGGCTGGGCTAACTTTTATCCCAAACGAGCATTCTCCATGGCAACAGTGTGTTTCAAGTCCCCAATAATATCTACAATTTACTCCTGTTCTCTTGCATGCACTACCTACTTAAAAAAATACATGATCAGATGAATACTATAGTAAAAAAAAACACAACACACCACCAAAATACATTCAAAGCAGTAAGGCACAACCATCCATTTAAAAACCCTACTAAAAGTCAGAGAAAGCTTTTAGGAAGAGAAAACATACAGAATTTTGGTTAGTCTAGGCATCTTATCTTTGGCCTTCCAAAAAATAGGTTGAAAGATGAACTCATCACTCCTGAAAGCTTCTAGGACCGACAACTCATCTCTCTTTTTTAACCCTGGAAAACAGAGGGGATTGGAGGAAGCCAAAGGGCAAATAAAGTCTTTTGAGGGGCTCAGAATGATACCTTGTCCCACACAAGCATGCCTATACCCATGGCTTCTTTACCTACACCGGCATCTCTATACCTCTGGTTTCTGCTAGCTACCCAAGGCAGGGTGTGGAGTTTCTCATCAGATTTGTTTTATGAAGTCAGGCCCTGCCACACAGCAGAGCGCCAGCTTCAGCAGCCCAGTCAACTTATCCTGCTCACAACCTTCTGTCATTCCAGAAAACCCTTCCCCAAAGCAGCTGCATTTAAAAGGAATGAAATGGCTTTGTGATAAATAAAAAGGAGCAAGAGTTCCCAAAAATAATTGCTACTTTGCATTTTGATAAACAGTTCAAATACCCGATCATTCGAAGCCATTAGCTTTAAACACTGCATTGTACTTTGGTACATAATTCAGAACATTTCCCTTCAGTCAAATTTATATATTGATCTGTGGAGAGCTGCAGCTTCAGACAATTTACCTAAATTAATGTCGGAAATTCCCCCCCCCGTCCTCCTTAACAAACTGGTGTACAGATATAGAGTAACCTACACTCCAGACCTCTACACACAGGTACGAGAAAGAAAAGATTGTTATGCATGCACTTTCTCACAGAAACACACAGAGAACCTACGTAATGCAAAACATAGTCCATAGTCCAATCAAATGGGCATGAGGGGTGGAGAGGATGGCAAGAACACCTGTCTTATCTTCAAAACCAGCATTTGCCCCTTCCCTGAGAAAGTGCAAACCATCACCATTGTGGGGTTGGGAAGAGGGGTGTGTTAAGGGCAACAATAGATTCAATAGATCAAAAGCACATCATCTCCTTTAATATTTGGATCTCTCCCATCAGCAACAGAAGCACCCCAAATGATACTCAACAATGTGGATGCCTTTGTTGGTATTAGCACTGGTTGAAAGACCTCTCTCCTGAACTTTTCCAGCACTTTTAACTTCCTGAAGAAGTGTGTATGTGCACGAGTTCACATGGGTGCAAAATAGTCAGCTATTTACCGTATTTTTCGCACCATAAGACACACTTTTCCCCCCACAAAACAGGGGGGTGGAAAGTCTGTGCGTCTTATGGAGCGAAGAAAACAGATTATATTTTCCTGTTTTCTTCTCCTAAAAAATTGATGCGTCTTATGGAAAGGTGCGTCCTATGGAGCGAAAAATACGTTACATTGCAACCTCTGTTGGCTTAAGTCAGAGGTGGGGAGCTCAATTGGATTAGGATGACTGTCATTCTTGACTATTGGCCATATTGCCTAGGGCTGAAAGGACCGCAGATGGCTTATGACCAGGGATAGCCTTTAAAGGTGAGGTGACTCTTGTGTGAGGTCCTTGAATGTGTGCTGGAGCAGGACTCCAACCACATCTGGAATTTCCATCCCCTTTGGTTTCATGGAGAAATTCCTCGAATGGGCTTCTGACCTTCTATGTGTAAAGTGGGCCTTTCACCACATACACTCGGGGTAAGATCACACCAGTATTAGGAAAGCCTTTTTCAGCCATGCAGCAATAATTTGACTTCTGTCAAGGTTGAATAGCTCTCTGCCTGGTGTGTTAAAACCCATGACCTTTCAAGCCAAACACACTTATACTAACCTGTTTACCACCAGAACAATCAATACCTTGCAAGTGAGATAGTCTAGACAGCTTCTCTTTTGTCCTTTGGTCTTATTTGTAGCTTAAGAATTGATAATTATATCTGGCTGGGAAACAAAACTGCCTCAGCTGTTTCACCATCTCTTTCTCCCTCCCTTCACCACACTTATCGGTTTTCATAGTTTTACACTCATACCGTTTTATTGTCGTTTCCTTCCTGCACAAAATTCCTCCAAATTTAAGATGCCCTGTAATTCCGAAGGCCAGATTACTGCAGGGAGACTGCATGACTGGATACCAAAATGCCCCTCGTTGCAAAATGAAATAAAATCTAATGATTTCAAGCACAACAACTGATTTCTGACATATCGGTTAAGAGCCTGTTGCATAGCTGTGCCTGCAGAACGCAAATGGCCTAACTTTCAGCACCTTCTGGGTGGAAATCAACACATTCCCGACTTTAATATTTGGATGTGTGCCACCCACTGCATGAGACAACCCACCAGATGTGTAAACCCTCAAAATGGAGATTGGAGTCTGTACTTGAGTAAGTACAGACTCATTAGCTGCCAGTGAGAAGCCCTTGTGAATTACACCATTTGCCTTCTGCAAGGACATCTAAGCAATGGGATTTAGGCCATCATGTACTTCACCAAAGGGCGATGGGATATAAATTCCATACTTTCCTCCTTCTACCCTGCTTTTCTCCTTAAAGAGGGCCCGTGGTGGCGCACAGGATTGAAAGACAATCTTCGAAAGCTCAAAACAGTACTTATACAAATATTTACAAAGAATCGAGCAAATACCGCACTTAAAAGGGTAAACAAAATCAATGCCAAAATCATGTTCAAGGCGACAGGGTGCCACACTCCATTTAACCACCCCATAAGAATTCAAAGCTACAGCGCTAACCTTAAGTGCCATCCGAAAGAGTGAGCTTTCCGTGTATCAGGGCCCACAGCCTTTCCATGCAAAATAATCACATGCTTGTTTCAGAACAGAGAGGGGTGCGGGCATCTTTGGACTGATGCCGGCTGCATGTTCAGCTTCAGGGGCTGTTCCAGCCCTACACGGAGGTATTATTTTAGGAGCAGTGAAAAACCCCGCTTGGGTCTTTAACAGAGTTTTCGCAGTGAGTGGCAAGCAGGGTGAGGGGAGAATTGTTTAGTGAATGGGCTTTGTGCCGTTAAAAGAGGAGGATGCTCTGGACAGGCGGGCAGCAACGGACAGCCACTGGCCGTCCTGTGCTAGCAGTAAAAGTGTCAAG